GCACTTCTCAGATGGTTAAATTAGGGACCTAGCTCGGTGTGTCCTGTAGTCCTTAAAGTCTTCATAGTCTGAGTAGAGTGTGTGCTACGGTAATGGGATTTTCTTTGCGCAGTTTTGAGGTGCAGAGCCTGTTTTGTGCCCCTTCCAGGATTTCATTTGTTCCCCTGAGGCTAGTACTGATTCCTCTCAACTCCTCTGTGGCTTAAATGCCTCTTCTACCTGTTCAGCCATTTCAGCGTTTCAGATAAGAGTGAAAACAAGCAGACAAGTTGTGATCATCCTTCCCTTAAAAGTCATTTCTTCCTGCTGCAGCTGGCTCTAGCTATGACTGGTCCTACAGCTATCTCAGCTGCTCCTCCCTTTCTTCCCCACCCCCCCCAGCTATTAATTCTGTCAGGTTTCTCTTCCAAGCTTTTTGCAGTCCTGAGAGTATCTGTATGTCGTCTTCCCTGCACCATGGTTCCCTTATACAGCTTCTGGTTAATTTTTACTAATGTGGATGCCGTTTGCCAAGATGGTCAGAGCAAACTGGTTCTTTGGTTCCAGCAAACCCACTCTCTCAAAGGAATTCTACCTGAGTAAGCAGCTGGCTCTTGTTCCTGGCTGGGAAGCTCATGTCAGAGCCATTATTAGCCATGTTAAATTTTGTATTTCTTTAAAAGCAGGGCATGACATGCAGATTTTTTTGTACCTGGAACTTTATCACTTCAACCAGAATTTATCATTTGCTCTCAGTCAGGCCACTCAAATTATCGCGCTAGGAATGCAGGAGGTTTATACATATTTTTTTCTTTCCTGGAAGTTTCCGAGATAACAAAAGTTGTTCTGTGAAGGTAGAAGGAAATGAAGTATGTCTTTTGTCTCAGAGCCATTGCTGCTGCTGCTGCAGAGACCCCTAGAAGGTCTAATTTTAGAGCAGCCCTTGTTCCCGATCAGCCAGGCAGGGGTTGCTATAGAGATATGAGTGTCCCCATCCCTTCCCCCACCCCAAAAAAAAGCTGAGCATACTTACTTTCTTGGCACTCCCGGTGCCCTCACTCTGACTGCCGAGTATATCGGTCTGCATTCTGGCAGCAATGAGAGTTAAGCTGCCATTTCTAGTTGTTCTGAGTCACTGGGCAGGTGGAGAGAGGGAGGGACAGGCTTTTTCCCCTTTGCCTTGTTTGCCCAGACATCTCTGGGGAGAATGCCAAATGCTGCTGGTGCTTGGATCGGTTCAGCGCCGCTGCCTTTCTGGTACTTTCAGAGCACAGACGGGACATTGCCCCGAAGCTGCTAATTCAGACAAGGGTAATGAATGCAGTTGGGTAGCCCAGAAAAACTCAGCCTTGCTTGCGTGGTAATGATTTCTGTTCACCAGCAAATGAAACCCAGTCAGGGCCCCTGGAAAAGGGCTGTATTTCTTAACCTAAATAGCTTTTAAAGTACTTGTCCAGTAGAAGGTTTCCTGGCAGTACTGGAGACTAGAGCACATGCAAAAAGGGCGAACTTCCCTGCAGGGGGGGGAATGAGACAAGACGTATCCTGCTACTGTGTGCTTGCCAAGCTCTGGAAGGGCTTCATCAGACCTTGGAGTCTTAAGCAGCCTGATTCAGGGGCTCCCCCGCTGCCAGCTGTGAAGCACTTGCATGACAACTGCAAGGAAGGGTGGGAGGGACGGACGGACAGACGCGTCTCTGTGGCAGCCGAACCCCCGTGGTGCTGCCTGCAAATCCTAATTGCATGGAGCTAAATGTGTCTTCCTGCTGTCACTTTTCTAGGTAGGGTTAATCGCTTTTTTTCTTTGTTAATCAAAAGGATGGTATGTAATAAGTAAAACAATCTCTTTATTGCAAATATTGACATTGGAAGGGGGAACATTGGACCTCTTGGCCTATTAAGTAATTGGCCTCTGTCGCCGGTACTAACAAGACATCGCCGTGTTCTGAAATATAGATGTTCCCTGCTACGTGCCTCTTCAACTTCCAGCCACAGCTACAACCAAGCTCAGCAAATAGCTCCATAACACACCTCTGGTCCTTTGAATCATCTAGACCTTGTCTTGACAAAGCCCTTGAGCCTGAAGCATTACTTTTCTTTAAAAAAAAACAAAACAAAAACCACGAAGGTAGGCAAAGGCCTCGAGTCTGCCTGTGAGCTTTTCCTGCGGGAATTGCATAGACAAAATCCCGCTTCTGAAACCTTATCTGCACAGGAGCTGTTATTTTCTCATTACGGGGATCAGCTGGAGATGTTTGCGTGTTTCAATAGCAGGAAAGAATTTTTCATTTCCTTGAGGTTGTCACGTGACTTGAATGTAAAGAGGATTCAGGGTATGGCAGTGTTAATTACACCTGATTATAACCTGACTGCCCTTCGTTGGCATTAAAGAACCCAGCAAAACGAGCTCTGTCCCGGCGGCCTGGCGATTCCTTCCCTCCCAGCACGCACGTGATTTGGTAGCTTTGCTTTGACGTAATAGCCAAATGGCCAAGAACGCGTGAGCAGATACTGTGACAGAATTCCTCTGCCTGCATGTGTACCAGGGCGACACGATAATTAAAGGAGCACGGTCAAGGCGCAAGTATTTTAAAGAGCCCTAATGTGTAACACCCTCTTAGTAACACCTTATTAAAACAACAATAGAATTTTAGAAATGTAATTGCCTTTTTTTTTCTTAATGATGCTAAAAATAGTGCAGTTGTTTTAATTTCCTGATCTCTGGCTGACAGCGTGATTTTGTTTCCAGCAAAGCAAGGGAGTATTAGAGGAGAGGGAAAAAAAAAAAAAAAAAAAAGGCGTTCTTTTGTAACTGAATTCCTTTTAAACTAGGAGTGATGAAAATAAGGCTGCTCATAATAGCTCTCATAAATCTTCCCCTGCTCTTCCTCCCCCTTCCCGTGCAGAAAAAAAAAACAACTTCAAAGGTTGTTGGGCTTTTAAAATGGGCACGAATGGCTGCTGCAGCGCTGTGGCTAGGAAGGACAGCATTAACTGATTTATTAATGCACGGTGTTAACCGGCATTCAAAAGAAGTCCTCTTCAGCAGCAAAGGCAGCACCTAAGGTAAAGGGTTCCTGAGGGAGGACAAGCCAAACCCAGAAAGATGCTGAGAATCTTTGTGGAAACGGGACAAGAGAGGAACTTTGTATTTTTGCACTTGGGAGACGGTTGCTACAGAGAATTATTTAACCAGAGGGACACAGAGCAGCTCAGGAAATGTCTGCGGTCTTTGTCCCTTTTGAAAATGGGCGATAAATTAAACGTTCTAACGTAACCCCGTACTATTGAGAAGATCCGATTCCGAGATGGAATGTGACTCCACGAATGGGATTGTTTCTCAGGAATTCCTCAGAACCAAGACAAACGGGATGTTTCACGGCGCAGGCAAGCTACCCCTGCTGCAATGGGGCTGCGGTCGTACTCTGGTCACCGAGACTGGTTCTTCCTCCCTGGTCTGCTTGCGTCAACTCTGAGGAAGATGCCTGATGCGCGGCCGGGTGAGCCTGCAAACGCCATTCTCAGCACCCCTTCTGCTTGTTTGGAGATTTACTGGGGTCAAAAGCTGCCTCTCGTGTGGGCAGCGAGAGCCCTTTGCGTGTGGAGTCTGTCCCAGGTGATGGCCTTAGCCCATAAAATACGTGGCCTGCGGGCACCCGTGGGGGTTTTCTTCATTTTCCTCAGAGCTAGTAATAGTTCTGGTTTAAAATACGGAGCACGGAGCCGTGTCTGCTGGCAGCTGGTGCCCTTTAAACACGTATGGTGATGTCGTACAAGAGAAAAATACATCCACGGCTGTAACGCTTCTCCCTCCGGGGCTGCTTTAAGGGGCTGTTTGTTACCACGCAGGATATCCCTTCGGACCCCGAACCAAGCGCACTTGGTTTTTTTCTTCATTGTTGAGTTTTATTTGCAGAATAGAAAGC